TATAAAAGAAAGAAACAACACAACAGCTCATCCACTTTAAGTTTGTGCATACATTATTTATGCCACACCATACACTTTGAGATGAAGCTCACAGATAGTCCAAACAAACTGAAATAAATGAAGCCAGAATACTGTTGGTACAGACCTTCCTGTTTTCCAGGAATGCCCCTCTATAGCTTTCTAATCTCTCGTCCAAGGTGGCTAAGTGTCTTGAAAATATCCTGAAGGTGAGCCCTCAGGAAAATCATATCTGCATGCATAACTGCCACCATGGTTTTCCTCTGAACCTCCATCAATAAATTAATTGTTGAATTTTTTTAGGGATATTGCTCTCATAGAAAGACCATTAGCTGTAATTCATAAAGCATGGGCAGCCACTGTAGAAGCTTGGGATATCCTCGTTAGTTCTCTTTCAAACCCACATTTTATTGCACAAATATAATGTGTCACACATTTAATTTTGTTTTACTTTCATTTTTTGCAAGGCAATGGGGATATGTACATAATTTTTGTTAAATGCTGTTTGTATATGCAAGAATCCGTGTCTGTAATTTGTGCAACAATTTTCACATGATCAAATAGAAAGTTTATCACAAGAAAAAAGAAACAGTATCATCATTGTTTTGCACTTTGTGTAATCTTTATTGTCCTTGGACAACTTAGAGCCAAAAGACATAAGGAAATACAGTCTGTTCCTGGCATTTTAATTGACTTGTGAAACCGCATTCATAGCCCTTGAGTCAGTGTTTTTGTAGTTAACTCCCACCATGGACAGACTGTCAAGCTCTGTACTGATGATAGTGTGTTGTACAACATTTTGAGTCAAACAGTAACAGTCAGAAGTTGATGGGCTGTAGCAGAAACCCACAGGGGGAAAAATCCTACATTAAATGTATAAGCTTAGAACTCTATATTTGTGCCTTTAATATTTAAAAAGCATTTGTCCATCAAGTTTGTAAATTTGTGATTTCCCCGTGCCACTGACTCAGCACTTAATTCTTTTCAAGAGGAGACAATAACTGACTTATTCTGTAACCATTGTCCTTTGTCTATATATCTTACATTGCAGTACAATAACTTCTCGGAAAGTTCTTTGGTAGAGTTACTTTCCTTGAACTGTAGCCAGTAAAATTACGCAAGTTGGTTAAGACGGATACTTTTTCATCATTTTACAAGAAAATGTACACAGTTACTGGCAAGTGTGAAATCATGGAACACCTTGGTGTTCAATGTCAGGCAATGATTTACATCATCTGTCTGTTTCTGTCTGTAGAGTCACTCTTGAGAAGATAATGTTGGCATTATTCATTTGGACAAAGATGTCCACATACATTTGGCAGTAAAAAGATTGCCTAACACTAACGCAATAGCTACTTTCTTTTTGAATTTAAAAAAAGGAGATTTTAAGGGTCCAGTGTGTAGGAATTAGGGGGATATATTGGCAGAAATGGTATATAATATTCATGACTATGTTTTCATTTGTGTATAGTTACCTGAAAATAGGAATCACTGTGTTTTTGTCACCTTAGAATGAGCCCTTTATAGCTCCATACAGAGTGGGTCCTCTTTCAGTGGGTCCGCCATTTTGTTTCTACAGTAGCCCAGATCAGACAAACTAAACACTGGCTCTAGATAGGGACCTTCTAGTTTTTGTGATGGCCACCGTAGTTCTCCTATATGCTTGGCACAGCAGTTGGGACAAATTTTCTCTTGGTCAAGGTTAGGAAAAGGGTCGTGGTTTGGGTTAAAATTAATAGATTTCTGTCAGAGAGTCTTGAAGAAAGCCTACAAGGAAAACTTCACACCGAAAAAGTTTCAATTGCTTGCAATCTCAACTAAACGCTAGATGACACTAAATCGTACACACTAGACCTTCATGTTTTTTGTGCTGCTGATTCCTGCCAGTTTGGGTTTGTTCGGCTCCGTTGTGGGGTCTCCCGGTGTGCTCAGCGTTGTATCTCCTGGACAGCAGTATCTTACCAGGGAGTCCCTCGGCTCTGTCTTTAATACACTGGAGAAATGTGTGCAGTGCAGTGAAGTGTCATGTGCAATTTTTATTAGTCTCTGCAGCTGGTTACAGAGGCAGGTGGGTGACTGCAGGTGCTGCGGAGAGAGGTCAAGGTCCAGAAGTTATCACCTGTAACTGCTGAGTCACATTGTTACAGTGGATTTGTTAATGAGAATCTTCATGCACTTTTTCAATGTAGTAGGACAATTTACCAAAGAATAAAATGCTCATGAAGTTACACTTCATCATGTGAGATTAATGGAATATAAGAATTAAACATTTTGACTTGGATCACACTTGGCTCCACCCAAAATCTGAAAATCTCTAATGTACGTTTGTCACAATTATTTATCTAATCATACCATACCATAACCAGCAAGTGCGATTACTGTTATTTGTAGTAGGCTAGTAGTAATAGCAGCAGTGGTAGTGGCAGATTTGTTAGTTGATTCATGACTTCACAATGAATTTAGTACTTTTTCATTTAATTTTTTAAGACGTATTATATATGACATTTTTTAAAGTTATTTTTGGGGGGCATTTTGGCCTTTAATTGACAGGGCAGGCAGGTGTGAGGGTGGGGAGAGGGAGGGGGGGTGACATGCAGGAGGTGGCCACGGGCTGGAGCTGAACCCGGGCCCCTGTGGCAGCAGCCTTGTACATGGGGCGCCTGCTCTATCCACTAACCCACTGACGCCCCAATATATATGACATTTTAAAGGCAAACTATACCATGACATTTTTAATTCTATTTCATTGTATGAATTTACTACAATTTTGTTTTTATCACGTTATATTCTAACATTTTGCATGGCATACTATTCATGACATTTTTGTCATTTTTTGACATACAATTCTTTTTTGAAAATTTTAAAGGTACTATACCATGACCTTTTTTATGACATTTTGCAAGACATACATAAAAAACAATTATGGGATACTATGACCTATTGATTGAATTCTATAGTATGACATTTTTATGCCTAACTGTGACCTTTTTGTGGACTTTTTTGTGACATTTTCATGGCATAACTTACCATGACTTTTTTCAAAGGCATTCTATACTTTTTTTTCTCCTAATTTTATGGCATAGCCTGCTCCATCAAGCATAAGGTTTCTTAAAAGTGGGATACTAGCTTATCTATGTTTCTGAAACCAGAATATGGTGTTCATGTGGAACACATAACCAGGATACTTATGTGCACGTAAATGCACCCAAACTACAGTGGAGATTAGTAAATTAGAGGTTTTTAATCCATATGGTATGAGCCCCATGTCCCTTTTTGATAAATGTGTGCAGAAGCTAATTATATGGCTAGCTTTTGATATTTTCACCAATACAAAGACCTTTGTATCAATTAACACTGACAAATTAACATTCAATTTTTATTGTATTTTGTTTTTGTTTTCTTTTCTTTTGTTTTTGGCCCCAGCCAACACGGAAAAAAACAAATCTGATCATCTACATGAAGGCATGTTGAAGAGGCCTTCTCTGTACAGGTGACAAAGAGTTTAATCGTCAGCGCGAGCCACCTCTCAGCCAATCACAATCCAGGTCCAGTGAAGGTGCAGTGGTTTTAAAACAGATAAAAGGTGTGAGCTGAGCTCTGTACAGCTCAATGTCACTGTGAAATACCTTAGCACTGTATAAGCCGCTATCTGCCAATTGTGTTCCTTTTTTCCTTTTTAATTGATCCATTTTTACACAAAAAGTTTTTAAAGTAAAGTTTGAAGATGTTTTTCTCCGGGCTGCTGATTCTTGCCAGTTTGGGTTTGTTCGGTTCCGTTGCGGGGTCTCCCGGTGTGGAGGACGCGTACAGGGCTGTGCTCAGCATCGTGGCTCCTGGACAGCAGTATCTGACCACGGAGTCCCTCGGCTCTGTCTTTAATACACTGGAGAAACGTGTGCAATGCGGCGAAGTGTCGTGTGAAAAGGTAAGTTTTATTAGGTTGTGCAGTCGGTTACAGAGACAGGTGGGTGACTGCAGCTGCTGCGCAGAGAGGTCGAGGTCCAAAGCTTATCACCTGTAGCTGCTGATCCGCGGTCACACTGTTGAGACGGATTTCTTGATAAAATTCTTAAAGTTTTTTCTTTACTTTAAACAAACTCTTGTTAAAGGAAATACATACATTTAATTAAATAAATAAACACCTGGATTAGGCTGCGAATATAAAACAAGTTGCTCAATGGAGGATTTTTTTTACTGAAATATTTTGTGTATTGTATATGTTGAATTTAACAGTGAGTGGGATTACTATTATTTTTTATCAATAGTATTATTAATATGATTAAGTTTGACAGTGAATTCAGTCTGGCTATTGTACTGTATGTGGACTTGACTTGTCAGTGATTTTCTGAACATTGCCAATAAAATTTGCTTTACTAGGCTATTTAATGATAAATTCGAGCTTTCAGTCAGTTTATCAGGGCAAATATTTGATAAAATGGACTTCATAAGATTGTCAAGTCTATGACCTATCTATTATCTCTCTTCCCATTTTGCAATTTCTTAATCTGACTCGAGGTGCTATTTTTCCTCATGACTGACCAAAATGATTACCAAAGTCTGTTAGACTAGTTCACTTTATCAGAGTGAATGAGAGTGAAGTCCCTCAACTTCCTGCGTGTTAGCTGCAATCTGCATGAATGGACAGTGCATGGCTGATAAGTATCTGCTGTTCAACAACTCATGGCTGCTGGGGAACATGAGGGACAAAAGACAAGAGATTAAATAAGAACACACTTAGGCAGATTTTGCTGAAGAGAACTGGCATCAAATGAAGCCGTTAAAGTGCAGTGACAAAGACTCATAATGGGAATTGTTAGAGGTGCTACAGAAGGTGATTAAAGCGTTCAAGAGGTGCAATAAAATAATAAATCACAGGTGAAGTCTATAAGACAGATGACAGATGCCAAGGAGTCCTAGTTTGACCCTGGCTCTTAACCGCTCCATTTTTGTCTGTTTAAAGGAACAGTTCACCCTAATCACAATAATGTGTTTTTTCACTTACCTCTACTACTGCTATTTATCCATGCAGGCAGATAGTTTGGGTTTTATGTGATGTTCTGAGCCATTAGTCCTCTTCTGCCTCCATTCAAATACAACTGAATAAAATGTAATTTGTCTTCCTCAAAGCAATAAAAAATAACATATACAAGATACATCAGGAAAAGTTTTCATAAAGACAATATCCTCATCTCAGTTAGAATGAAAGCTGTTCAAAGTGAAGGCCGAGATCCAGATGAACTAATCACCACAAACCAAATTCCATTCCTCAGTATTATATTGAGGGTGGAGCAAAGATCTTAGAGAGTATGTGAAAGCCTGAAAAAACATATCTATGACTTAATAAAACTAGAGGTCAGTAAAAAAAAAAGCTAAATTCTCTGTTTACAATTTACTGATTTTTATTAATGTGTCCTATTTGCACTGAATGTAATTTTTTCAATGCCACATCCTCTGAACACCACTGGATGGCGACTGTAACACACAAGCTGCAAGAAGTACACTGGCTCTCTGAATTTACTGATACTTTGCATCACATTAGCAACCATCTCACATCCCACTCACTGTTCAACTCGCTTCTTAGGCCAGCAACAGCCTGCACATGGCCAATCTTTGTACGTGAAAATCTTGATTATGATTTGGGGACAATGACATGACTGGACAGCAACCTTGTTTTTGATGTAGCTCTCTTGCTCAAAACCAGGCCAAAGTGTTTAATGAGCTGAAATAGAGAATGATAAAAATATCTCTCAATGTTAAGTCATATCTAAGGCTTGTCCTATTTACTGGAGTGGTGGACAACGTTTCCATTGCATAGGCTAATAACCTAATGGGGCGGTAATGACTGTTCTGGATTGTAAAAACTGTGGGTGTTACCAGATAAACTAAGTTATGGCTTGTGAAAAAAAAATTGAAAATATAACTGACTGGTGTTTTTCTTTTCTTTGACAAGTGACCACAGTAGGCTATAATGCCCTTGTTTCCACAGTCAGGAATTAATCGCATCAGTGGACGCAAAAGGTCGTCCATTAGGCTAATTCCTGATAATGGACACCTCATCAGGCATTATCAGTTTATATTTTGTTACTCAATTATCATCTTTCCTCCTGTCTCAGTTTCTGAATCAAGATCAGTAGTTGTCAGCAGATATTGTATATTGATTTATATTGTAGAAAGGCAATACAAGTAGCTGATACAGGCCACAGGTTGCTGTTAATGCAATGTGCATTTTTTTCTAAGTTCATCTAACCGTGTGCTTAATTTAACAATTAAGTCATATGAGATCTGTATGTGTTTTTCTATGTATGCAGTGTGATCTAACAGACGCTGTTCACCAGCTGATCAGCAACTACTCCACCCATGGACAGGATGAAACTGGAAAAGGCAGAAAAAACATAACTATAAGTTCATCTCAGTTCACCGCTCTCGCTGCTGGATGCATCCTGTACGTCTCATCTCCCGGTCTGGTCTGCACCTCAGTGAGGCAGGGGAGGTGGGGACAGGAGGCTGAACAATTCGTACATAAAATCACACATCAGGGGCCGCACCAGGACCATGAGCACGACCACGACCACAACCATGACCATGAGCACATAGATGTTCATGAGTTAAAAGTGCTGCTTCAAGAGCTTCAGGAGCACTATGAGCCCTCAGACAAAGAGGTAAACATCATGCTACAATAAGATATTTGTAATAAGACAGCAAATAAGAAAACACAACAATAACACAAAAACTTCTCAAATCTTTTTCTTTTTTTGTCAAATACTGAAGTTTCACCTCGCCAAAACTCAACTTAAACTACTTAAGAAGGAGACATTAGCCAACTCTAAATTGCTTATCACAGATCTATGACAAGGTGTGGCCTGAAGATATTGTTTGGCTGGATCTAGTTTATGTCACCAGCAAAAAAAGGTTGGCAATGAGTGATATAGATTATGCAACGATGCCTCATGCTTTACATAAAATTGGCACCATAATTGCCACCAGTAATCCAGTGATGACAATCTTTCTTGCTCTCTGACACAGATTATTCATATGACTTATGTAGTGTATTTTCCCTCCAGGGTGTGCTTTACTAAGATTGTAGCAGTTTATCACTCAACATATCTTATCATACAGGGTGATGCCAGCAGTAAACCTACTAGGCTTTGCCCTGTGCACGGCCACATCACCATAGAAGCCATCATCATGAAAAAAAAAAGTGCCCTCTTTAAATGTTTGGTACTGCTGTATTGTGAGAAGTATAATGCAGACTGAGTTTAAATTCAGATTAGCTCTGGTAAACTGTTTAAGTGTCTTTGTTCTGCTTACTGTAGATAAAGCTATAAAAAGGTGTTTTACTACAGTGCAGACACTGGCTCAATTGTGTATTTTGTGAATAAGGATCAACAAGTTAGCCAAATAACTTTAAAAAAAAGATCTGTAAGAAAGCAATCTTGAGTATTTTCAAATGTTTGGACTCATTTTACCATTTACTTGAATGGAAAAAGTGTTTCCAAACTTTTGACTGGTTCTGTACATAACTGAATCACCTTCCCAAACCTCATAATAAATATTCTACAAAATGAAATTGTGTCCAAAGTATTGCGCAATGTATTTAGCTATCTGGCAAACCTTTCAGACAAAAGCAAACTGAGTTGGGGCTGCAACAACTAATCTGCACAAACCATCAGAGACACTTTGTGGTAGCTCAAGGTAACGTCAAAAAAATGCTTGTTTTGGCCATCCAACAATCCAAAACATTAAGATATCCCATTCACTCCCAATTTTGTAAAATGTAATTTATGACTGCCCATGTTTCCAAGAATTCCAATAAAAAGAAAATATTTGATCACAAAAAAGATATCCCATTCAGAATCACCTAAAGACAAAAAGAGCATAAGAGCCTTCCAGCTGGGAAGCTGGTACTGGGGACTGCTTTTTTGCTTGAAAAATACTTGAATGTATTATATGTAACTTTTCACATGTAGTAGTCTGTTTTTATTGCGAGCACTTGAGCTGATTGTAATGTAACTTAAAAACTGAGACCTTCCCCAAATATCTTGGTTGTCTATAGCAGCCTGTGGAATGACTTCTAAGTAAAGGACTCGGGATGAATTCAAAGATTGTGGTGAACCTTAACAAAACCAGAAAGGACGGCAGAGGAGATATCACATACCAATGTAACTGGGCTAGAAGGCCACAAAAAGGTCCACAGGCTGAGATCAATGCAAAAATAGACTATTTGTTTAAGACATCTGTGTACAAAAAAAAGGTGCAGAGGTGCAAAAAAAGATCAAGAGTGAGTAACAACAGCAGCAAACATTTCAGTCCTTGAGCACTGATCATTCAACACATATCTTTTTTTTTTCTAGTTTGTTTATTGTACCAACACACCCAAGACAAATTCTTTGTTGCCCCAAGGAGGTGCAATTTAACAGCAGCCCTTAGGCATGGACCTTAACTAAGAAATCCCTTTCTGGCAGAAAGCCCTGTTGTGACTGATGCAGGTGCTCGCACATGGGTATGGAGGATGCTGACTGCAGTTCACTGAACAGCCTCAGAGAGACGTGTCACTAAAGACAAAGATTTTCTGAAAGTTACATACAGAACCTTTAAAGCTCTAAATTGAGTCAGTGAGTAAAACTCTCTTTGATTATATCCAAACTTCTTCTCTTTGTCCCTCCTCTCCTTTATTGCCATGGTACTCAGAGCTGTGTATCAGCCAGCGACATCATGGCAGAGGTTAGCACATCATCACCAGACCAGGGACAGGAAGTGGGTGCAGTTTTGGGCCGAGTTCTGTATCACACCTTGAAGGGTCACTGCTTCAGCCCGTCCCTCCCTGAGGAGAGCTTCTTCCTGAACTACATCTTGGACCATCTGGGGTCAGAGAACTTCACCACTGAGGGTAAATGTCTTTCAGAAACACAAAAAAACATGGACACATAGATAGAGCTGCAGGGCGATTCATCATATGAAAATCCAGACCCTACATATTTAAGCATAACCACCTGTACATGCTGTGCATATCTTTCAGAGGTAAATGACTTTAAACAGTTGGCTATATAAATGTTTAGTTGATGAATGAATTCCTTTTTGTTTACCATGATGGTCTTACCAGGCTAGTTTTGCTCAAGTGCAGGTTTTATTTGTGCTCTGTAGATTTGGAGACTCTCATGATGAGTCTGAACCTTGGACCTGACCACGAACATGGAAACGAACACCAGGAAGATGAACACGCTGATCACAATCATAGTGGTTTGAGATGGAGGAAGAGAAGCAGCCATGAACGTCATGAGGGTCATGAAGAAAATACCACCTGGGATCAGGTATATATACTAACGCAAGGGTTTTTACACCAATATTCAGACAGGTGTGTATGAAAAGGTGATGTGTCAAAGTAACAAATAGCTACAGGTGTTTTCTGATGGATTTCACTTCATGTTAAATTAGCAAATTCTTTGTTTTTATTAAACTTTACAGAAAACTGCACAACTGCACCCCAGTCTTAACATAACAGCAATTTGTGTTTAAATGTTTCACTTTACCTTCTTCCAGGTCTGTTTCTCAGCTGAAGAGCTGGTCCTTATCTACGGTCTTGCAGACAACAGCTCTAGCCTAGGTCGGTCCAACTTGGCCCGGCTCAGCCCTGCGCTCATCCAGCAGATCCTGAGTGGAGCATGTGCAGACATCACAGAACCACCAACATCAGATGGGCTCACCGAGAGTGAGAGTAAGTGTATGTGTTCTGAAAGACTGAGGCAGAGACCTAGGTGGTTAACAAGGCCAGCATGATCATTGGGAATAAACAATTGCAACTCCAGAAGCTGTACAACCAGTCCATAACCAAAAAAGGTAACCTAGGTCTAAAATGACCCCACCATCAGCTGTTGCCATCTGGCAGGAAACCAAAGGTCTCACTAGCCAAGAAAAATGGGTACAAGAGATTGCTTGATGCAGCGTACAACCACGTATGCCCCCAGTAGGCAGTAATTCTACTTGAAAGCTACTTCTGATTCACAAGCCTTTAAGTCAAGGTTTTGTCCACCTTATCATCAGGGCAGAATGACCAGATTTTTATAAAGAATCACTTTACATTCATATCTCATATAAGAAGTCCAGGGAATACTTCCAAAGATGAAGTCTATCTCTGCTTGACATCTTGATATCTGACCTTTACCCCCCTCTTCTATTCTCTCTTTGCCTTACAGGATACATCTATGCAACCATTGCCAATACTTTGATAACACTGACATCCCTGTTTGGCATTGTGGTGCTGCTGTGTACCTCCTGCACCAGTGTGTTCCAGTTGTGTATCCAGTTTTGCATCAGCCTGGCAGTAGGTTCACTGACTGGAGATGCCTTACTGCACCTGATACCCATGGTGAGTGATTTAACAAGTTTTTTTTTTTCACACCTCAAAGCTGAAAGTCTGCATAAGTTTGAGGACGTTGTGGCTGTATGGTATTCTTCATAATCACTAGGACACCAAGACGTATTAGTTTTGTCGTGACATTAACAATCATGGCTGCTTCTCATGCAGCATATACTCATTTTGACTTCTTCTTGTGGTCTGTGTGCAGTTTCTAGGTTTACATGTGCACTCAGACAACACCGGCGACCACACGCACTCACATGACCATCACCAGGAAGAAACTCCAGACTACATTTACAAGATTTTGGTTATGATTGGGGGGATCTATTACTTTTATCTGATGGAGACGATCTTCTCTCTGATTGCATATAAAGAAAGTCATCACCATCATCAACATCATCATGGGGTAAGAGAAAAAAATACCATGCTAATACTGATAAACCTGTTAGGAATATAATTGGACACACATAAGTTCACAATCTTATAATTGCCTAATATACCACCCTGTTCTTTTTATATCTCAAATCCTTCTTCTGGTCTCAACCTTCAAGCTAAGTTTCCTCATTATTGTGCTTCTCTATCTTCTTAGGAAGACTCGGAGCCTCACCACTGTGACCATGGGAGGGTTTTAGAGATGTATCAACAGGAGAGGGGAAAAAAAACGAAGTCACAGTCAGCGCTAAGAGTAGACCTGGTGAGAAACAGACATATATTTAAGGAGTACCTCACCCAGGAAATTATCATTTGTATATCAGTTACTCACCCTGTGTAAGGTTGAATTCGTGAAGAATTATGCATACCTCCACAGCAAACAGAATCCAAAAGCAGAGAAAAATTTTGATGAATTTGAAGTAAAAGAAGAGCAGCAAAGATATCAAAATATATGGTTTTTAGATAGGGATTTGAAATGTGAGGTTTAGGCGAAAGTGCATGTGTTTTGCGTGTATTCAAATTCAATTCAAATCAATTGTCAGTCGTCTACGTGGAAGTGATTGTTTTTGTAAGCGTGACATTACAGTGATTCGGTCTATAGTACAAATAAAAGGTGTTAGACCTGTGTACCAAAACTTGTGTTTTAGAAATGATGGAGACACATTACAGCCTCCTGGAATCCATGAAATCTCTGCACACAAAGTGTCTCCTGGTGCAAATACTATCTCCTGTTAAAATGACTGTGAGCTGCTTTAGTGTGTGTGAGAAACCCTCAGCTACTTCAGCTAATACTATGTAGAAATTTGAAACTGAAAAGCTGTGTTAAAACACATTTTATGACAATAACAGGACTTGTTACTTAATTTATATTTCAGGTTGACTGTGAAGACAATGATGAACCACTTTCAGAGTCAAAAGACCGCACCAGACGTGAGTAAAGTTATTTACAATACAAAAACAAGTATGCTATCATTAAATTGTGATAATAGTGCTAAGTATCCTGGCTTCACCACTAACTATTACTTTGTCTGCCTCTACAGAACAGCGCCTGCTGCCTTATATGATAACCATTGGTGACGGGATCCACAATTTTGCAGATGGATTAGCGATAGGCGCAGCTTTCTCCCTGTCATGGAAGTCTGGTCTGGCCACATCACTGGCTGTGCTCTGCCATGAACTACCACATGAACTGGGTAAAGAACACACACACACCAGCCCAGTCGCCAGAATAAAATGTTGGCATTTTACATCAATGCAAACTACAGATATGTTACGTTTGTAGGGTTCATACATATGATGTCAACATTTCTGAAGTGATGTTTGGTGTGACACGTAGGTGAGACAGCTGCCAAGCAGTATACAAGATATAATAGTGCACATACACAGGTAGCAGCAATAAGATGATTGATGGATAGATAGAAGCAGCTCAAACTCTGAATGTAAAGGACGTGAGGTATCTGCAATTAAATGCTTGGCATTCCTGAGTACAGCACTAACAGATATGCTGCTGTTGTTTCTGTGACTTGCCAGTCACCTTCCCTGCAATATAAACAATCTCAGAGTGTTTGTTTTTGTTCACTGCACTCATGTTGGCATGCTATGTTGTTTTGTTGTTGTTTGTTAAGTGATAAAATGTTTTCAACCAGGCTTTTGTATGCTGTTTCAAGTATGTGTTGGCTAACGCAAAAGCCTCTCAGATTCCTGACTAAACACTATTACTAGGTACAAACATGTACAGACTAATATTCCACTTTTATTCCAAATATGGCAATATTCTGATTGATACCAGATATGTAAACAGCACAATCCGTTTGGGTGTTCCATGTTAGGCCTTTTTCTGAATTAAACATTTTCCGATTAACTTTTCCATATTATGACGTGATAAATGAGATGTAAGGGCACATTTGGACTATGCATAGCTGCAGGTAAACGGGAATATTAGTGGAATATTCATTTTCATTACCCATGTCAACAGCTTAGTAGGAATACTGTTCTGATCAATGATTGTGCCCAATTAATTAAAATGTTCCACTTTTTCTACAGGCTGGTTATTGAGTGTGACAGGGAGGATGTAACTGGTTCCTTTTGGTTTTGTTCGTATTATAAGTTCTTTGTTTCAGTCACATTCATTTCTAGTTTTCTTACCAGACACCAGTCCTGAAGTACAGTGACCTGGCTGAAGTGAGCCTCTTCATGCACTGCATTGTCTTTCAGGAGAAGGCTAACAAGAGCCACATCATCTGCATATTTGAACAGCTTGCCAATACTTCTGTAAATGGCTATTTCATTTGTGTAAATGGAAAACAGCAGTGGTGACAGCACACAGCCTTGTGGTGCCCCAGTATTTAAAACAAGGTCTTTTGAGTAGAAAACTACTACTACTACTACTGAGGACAGTCAGTTAGAAAGCTTCTAATACAATACACAGAAACATTAAGTTTCAACATACAGTATCCGCTATGTATGAAAAGTACAAATGTAACCTATCTGTGGTTTGCAGAAAAGTACAATGCCAACTTTTATTCTGACATTGTGTTATACACACATGCAAAGTAAGGCAGTATCTGGTTTATCATTTTTCACCAAAGATTTCATAACATCAACTTGTTGCTCTTGTTTCCCTCCAGGTGATTTTGCCATTTTGCTCCACAGTGGTATGTCTGTCCGCAAGGCATTGCTTTTAAATATTGGCAGTGCCATGACCTCGTTTATCGGTCTGTACATCGCTCTGTCTGTGGCCACTGACCTTGCCACCAAACAGTGGATAGCTGCCATTACTGCAGGGCTCTTCTTGTATGTGGGTCTGGCTGATATGGTGAGTATTTGTGTTCATGGACCTATTTACCAGACAACTGTAGCTGGCATACAAATAAGAACCTCTATCTCTTCTCTTTCTCCTTCCAGCTCCCTACTATGGTCCACATCAGCAACAAGAGTCCCTGGAAGATGTTTTTGCTGCAGAACATCGGCCTTCTGAGCGGGTGGGGTATTCTGTTGTTGCTGTCACTTTATGAGGAGAGAATCAACTTTTAAAATATGGACAGTCAAGACTCACTTAAGGCTATTGGTTTAACCTATGCAGATTGTAAAATCTTTGAATGATATTCTCAGTAACATAATTGGGTGTTTATGGGCTTACTCATAAATAGCCACGATAAGACCCCTGGAGTAAAAAGCCTTAACGAGAAAATTCACCATCTTTTATGTTGATGTCCAATCAGTGTTGATGGTAAATATAGTTAACAGACGCAATTAATTTCTCATTGAGTGCTTTATTGACCAAGAAAGCACAGTTCTCCTGCTGTGCAGTTCTCGCAGAGCCGCACTGGCAGTGCCTGTGTATCCAGTGATGCATTGCACGTGAACTTCTGACACCCCTCAAAACCAAAACATAGCATTAGCTGACAAAAATACTCACTCAACGGTCATCTGACCCCTCGTCACTGCTAGTGTTGTTCGCCTTTTCTTGTTCAACTTCAAGAACCTGAAAGAAGGTTTCCTGCACTCCTCTGTCAAAGTGAGGAATAAAACTTTCACATATACCGTAAATTAGCCGTTTCACTTTCACTAGTAGCGCACACATGGGCTCTCTCAGGGCTCTACTGGTGTCAGTGATAGCATCCAACAAAAACTGCCCATGCTGAAATTCATTGCAGCAGAATTATTCAGTTCCGTTTGGTATCAGAGGGCAATTTGAGCAAAGGCAAAACCAGTTGTGTTTTCTCTTGGGAGCTCAGGTTCTTCAGGGTCCCCAACAGCCATTTTCTTTTGCATGGTAGCCACAGCCTTGGCAGTCTCCATGACATTTCTTCTGCCGTAGACTCTGGCACGAATAAATACAGATAAACCACTGTTAAGAAAAATACTGTAAAATGTATCCTCATATTGTATCCTCATGTTGTATCCTTGTCTGAGGGCACATATCCTGGCTACCCAGAGGTGGAAAATCAGCCTGTAGTTTTGTCTTGCCTCCCAACTACGTCACTGTTGCATGATGATGGTGCTAGATGTTAGAAGAGCAACAGCTGCAAACTTTTGCTTTTGCGGTCAATATAGTACACACAGGAATTCATTGATTATATCGATGACATTTACCACCAACACAGATTGGACATTCACAAAGAAGGTGACCATTTTTTCCTTGAAGTGGCCAGACGGTCTTTGTTACCATTACCAAAAGATTAACTCTTACGGATCCTGTAAAATTCACTAAAATTCACCCAAACAAGGCATACCTAATGTAAATTAGTTAGTAGTTAGGTATATAAATTACACCACACTGAAATAAAAGGGTTTTTTTTTATCTTAACCTGAATATTTTCTTGTAAAAAGATGCTGTAGTTGACTAGAACTGGGAGACACAATGGGGCCATATCATAAAGCCTCACCTAGTCCAAAGTCAAAGTAGATAACAGTATCAAGAAAATAAATATTTTACTTGTTTTTCTAAAGTCCAGGTGCTTTTCAAAAGAAGAAGGTAAAACAATGAACTGAATGTGTTAATAGGAGTAAAAAACAAGTCAACAAAGACAGAAATGTCTATTTAGGAGCTCACTGTATGTAAAAACAGTTTAGTGAACCTGAATTGATAAGAAAGACTTTTTTCCCTTAGGACAAGATAAGAGCAGGTATTTAAAATTTCTGTACACTGATAACAGTCTATGGTCCCTGTGAGGACTTCAAACCTCCTGTGGAAGTTCAGAGTGTCATTGACTACAATACCCATAAGCCATTGGGTCAATCAATCGCTGGCTACTGATTGTCTATAAGCCCCAGAAATGTGAGTGATGCACCTTCCTTCAATACAGGCCCTCACTGGCTAACAAGGCCTCAGCAACAGCATTGAAAGCTCCTGTTGGCTCAAGTGAGGTGTCAATGAAAAGGTCAGGAGTTCTCCTCCATTTTGACAGAAAGCAGTCTAAATATTTACATGAGAAAGGAGGAAATTATGGATAATATGTGGAGAAATATGGAAGTTTAAAGCAATGCAATGCCAGTTTGTGGATATCTATAGATATAATAATGTTTGGACTAAATATTTTTGCTGGATTTAGATCATCTGGGCCTTTGGGACTGTGTGAGAACTGTATGAGGGCTGTTTTATTAGGATAATATCAATCTGTGGAATAACATGATGTTTATAGGTGAGTGATAACTGTTTGTTTTTTGTCTGACAGAAGTGTTTATTAAACCTGCTGTGGTGGTTGAATCTTAAAATGGCCTACATCACATCAATGGAACCGCTAGGAGTGTAGTTTTCAAAGAATAGGTCGTATGAGTAAACCATTTAAATGCCAGCAAATACAGCAGTTGTTTACATATCATAATCACAGAATAAAACCTCAAGAAGACCCACAGAGGGGTCGTCAGTTTTCTTTTTTTTTTAAGATTATTTTTCTAGGCTTTTTGCCTTTAATGACAGGACAAAGAGTGAAATGGGGAGACAGAGAGAGAGTGGGGACTGACCATCCACTATGCTACTGACGCCCCAGGGCTGTCAATTTTCTATGAAACAACTGACTAATTGTTAGACTGTGGACCTGTATAATTTAATCAAGATGGTTGGTTGCCATCTTATAGGTACACCCATGGTGGTGGGCAAAATATTAGAAACACCTTCCAATTCACTAACACACCAAGCAGGGTGTTGAAAAAATACTTTTCTACAGTCTCAACAAAAACTGAATGTAAGGTTTATAAACGGTAGGATGTACGTATGTATGTATGAATAATATCTTGTTAAAAATATTAGTTAATTTACCTTCATTATGCTTTTAAAGCTGAGATTGGTTATTGTTTCTGGCAGTAAAAATGTCAGTTCAGTTTTTTTTTATTCATAAGCATGAAAATGACTTTAAAATTCAGAATACACATGTTGTTTTCCTCTTGAATTTCCCACTAGATTCACAAGTATTAAATGGAATACAACTTTCTACAGTTACTTTTTGTTTTTATTCAAAGTGCCTGTTGATGAGAAACATACACAAATATATACATTTTTAAGAGAAAAAGCTGTAGAGTTTGACTTTATAGTATTTGCTAAACTATAAAACCCAACTTACCAATTATGATGAAGGTAAATGTATAAAAATGTTAATATATTTTGGTATATACAGTATGGCACACACTATGTTTTACATTCTGCCTTGTTTGGAAAATTAAAACTCTTTCAAACCCATTATTTACTCATTTCTGTGAGACCTGTCAATTTGGGAATGACAGCAGGTGCTAAAAGTGACTTTTTAGCAGTGGGTTTAATCTATATTCCTTCTGTTTGCATTTGATCACAGATACTGTACATTTATTACATCTGTTGGATTTGTAATCTTTGTATGAATAAAGTGAGAGGTGTAGTGGAAACTGGACTTTCTCTTTATCTGCCTCGTCTAATCTCTATTTACAGGTTACATTTTGTCAGCAACAGAGGCTGCTCAGAACTTATCGCACAAAGTACATAATATGTACTTATACAATATGTTGTATGTGTAACCACAAGCATTACCTGCAGTGATGGGAGAAGTACTCAGATCATTTACGACAATGTATAAATACCATAGACTTTAAAGATAATGGAGGTAGTTGACATGATGTCACCCATTGGTTTGTAGACTCCGGTTTGAGTTCGGCATTTTGGTTTGTTGGAGCCATAAGTGACCATATTAGAGCAAGAGGGTAAATGGGTGAGTTATACAGAAATTCACCCCTGTACTGTTGTCATTGAAAAATTAGCTGTAGAGACCAAAACCATTTTTGTACCAGGCTGTAAACATCTTTATTTCTGCTGTAAAGTTGGGCATTTTAACATACGGGTCTATGGGGATTGACTGGCTTCCGGAGGAAGCCTCAAGCAGCTGTTAAAAAAACTGTGGTTTTTGGCACTTCCATGGTCGCTTCATTTTCAGCCTTGGAGGTTGATAAATACTCTACTGCAAGTAAAGGTCCTGCATTCAAATCACACTCCAGTATAAGTACAAAAGTATTAGCATCAAAATATACTTATAAGTTCTCATTATACAGGATGGCCCATTTCAGAATGATATATACCACGATTATATTATTGAATTATAATTACTGAGTGGCTGGGGAGAGGACTGTCTGGGCCTCTTTGCTGAGGCTGCTGCCCCCGCGACCCGGACCCGGATAAGCGGAGGACGACGAGTATGACTACGAGTACGAGTACGAGAGTATAATTATCGATGCCTTAATGTGTTCATTACATTAATGATTCTGCTGGTAATGGTGGAGCTAATTATCGGCGGACAAGCCTTATGCTGATAAATAGTACCACAGTGCAAAACAAAAACATGAATGGTTGGAGCTTCACAGCATCAGCTGTACAAATATGCCTCGGATGAAATCATAGCCCGCACTGCCACTTCAAAACTTATAGGCCATCGTGTGAAAGACTTCCATCCCCTTTAAAAACAGGTGGAAGATCAATTCTCAGGGCACTGGAGAGACAATGGGGGCTAAAAAAGCAGCACCAGCCATTGTAACATCCACTGACCTCTGTTGTGTGGACGCAGACTGCAGCTCATGCACAGTTTCGCTTTAACCACCACAACATAAAGGGAAAAAATGTCAGGGTCAGAGGTCACAAAAAGCATGACAAAAGAATGCAAAAATTCTTAACATCTCCAAACAAGTAAGAGTTTTCAGTTCTTCAGCTATTCTCAAGGAGTGAAAAGAAAGTCCAGGTAGCACAAAAGTGACGATAGCCACAGCTGGGGAATAAAACTCTTCTAATGCACAAAACCACCAAAAGAACACTACACTGCCAACAGGAAAATGTGAGGAAAACCACAGAGGTAGATTCAGCAGATTATTAAAGTCAATGATGACAGTGTTTAACACGTAAATATGTATGCAAATATATGATCAACCTCTCTTCTGAACCTTACAATAATAATAATACACAATTTTATTCATTTATTCATTTTCTGTAACCGCTTATCCTGTTGGGGATTGCGGTGATTTCCCTAAAGTCAATAAAAACAATCCATAATTTTGAAATTACAGCTTGTTTTCAAAGTTTTTTTATGAGCTCCAGGAATAATGTCACTTATTTCCTCAATAAAAAAAAACTTGATTATCACGCTGGTGGACACCTGCAGATTTAAGAGAGACAATGAAAATACAAGGGGAAGACAGAGACTTCTTGACTATGTGCTGTAACTGTGGAAAGCTGGATGGGTAATTTTACAATTACACAAGGTTTATGGTGCAATGACGAAGAAATCTGCATAAAAGTGAGTCTTTCTGTGAGTGACTGCTGGGAAGATGAATAGTTGACATCAGAGTTCAAGTGTTTGAATGTTCAGCTGTGGAGGGAGGGAGGGGAGCAAGACAAGAGCATGTGACTGGTTATACTGGTCATATTCTAGGTTTAGATGTCTGTATCTGAGGTCACCATCAAGAATGTGACTTTTTCCTGTCGCACTACCAGCACGTTAAAGTTTTATTTTGTCCCGTGCTTTTTTTTATGACTCTGCAAAACCAATGACATTCCAATCATCCTCAGCTGTGGTTTGTCTTCGCTGCCAAGTAGCAAACATTAACATGCTAACACACTTAACTAGCATTTAGCTCAAATCACAGCAGCGCATGAGTACAGCCCAGATTTCTACCCTTGTTTTAATCTTACATGATTAAATTAATCCCCCTGTATCACATGACACGAGGACACGTTGTCATGTTTAAGATGTGAATAATAAAAGTAAGTTAGTAATGGCCAAAGTCCAATTACATTCAGTTCCAGGGTATTATGTGTGCTGGCTCAGTGTCATGACTTGACATCTGAATAAAGTAGAGCCATTGTTAATGCTATCAATAACACCAGTGTTTTACTTCAAGTATAAATATCCGCTGTGATGAGATGACGGGAAAGATAAGTAACTCTGCGTCAACAGACCCACCTCCATATGTCTGTTACTTAAGAAACATTCCTTGGGAGTGGCTGTTGATTTCACATTAATCATTGTCACTAACCTGACCTTACATAACACCAATGCCACATGGTAAACTTACTTGTTTAAACATTTAGAGTGAACTGAACTGCCATTGTCATTATCACCTTTTACGTAGGATAAAAAATAAAACTTTGTTCTTCATGTGTAAACTGTAAATATGACTAAGTTGGGTAAAATCAGTTTAACATATACACCAAAGAAAGTTAAAGAAAGATGGGTAAAAGGAAGAGCCACGTACCTTTATAACAAATGATTATTGTTACACTTACTGTATGATACTGATGAAAGGGGCTACCATCTCACACACACACACACACACACACACACACACACACACACACTAACTCACAACATAGATAAGAAGGTGGGGTGGTGGCCATTACAGCAGTGTTAAATACAGAACAAAACACAGATAAAGGCAAGTTAATTAATTAAATATTCAGTGAAACATCTTACTACGCTGGCCCTATCTGGAGCAACTGTTCGTCTGTCCGCTGTGGGCTACTGTAGGAACATGGCAATGCAACATAGCCATCTCCATAAATGAAAACCCACTTTCTATGTCGATTTAACTGGCTCACTCTAAGCTAACGAAAACATGGCAATTCTTATTTTCAGGTCATAATACACTAAAGAAAACATACTTATTATACTATTAATCCATATCTGACAATATGTCCGACTAAATCCTACACATTGGACCTTTAATATTCAACGTGTCCCAGGTCAGAAGTCTTTAAGAGGACTGTTTTTCTTCTCCTGAGATCAGCCACTATGTGTTTGTGTTTGACTGCATTCACGTCACCCAAACCACTTCTGCTCGCAGCACAAGTTGGAAAACCTGCATTTTAAATGGCTGACTGGACAGACAGACACAGTCATGTCAAGAGCTCAATCTATTTGTGGCATTGACTGAATTCATTTTGCAAAATGTAGCTACACTTGAGCTTTAGATTTAGGTTACTTGGTGCAGTGGTGTTTCAAGATTCATGTAACATAATCTAACATATGGTAATGTTAGGATATGGCTAGCTAGCTTTGGATAACAATGTGCCATGACAAATAAGGTCCCACCCTTATTGGTTTTTATGTCTCATCATATTTGGGAGGGAGAAAGGCCACTGATTTAAATGGCAGGGAAGAAAATACAATGTTGTTTTGTGTAAAAAGGCTACAGTTTTATTTTTTCACCTCTAATTTCTGGTACCGGCCCATAGTAACGTTATTCTCATGCATTCCCCTGCTCTCAGTTTCTCTCAAGTCCCCCCTGGTCCCTTCACCTCTGCTAAGAGACCACTGCTGCGGGAGTGTGAGCTCCACACCTGGGATGGTTGGTGAAAGTCCATCCGCTCCACACACATAATAACAGGGCATCACATGTTACTTAAAGGTTATTCATCACTTTAATGACAGTCAAGCATTTTCAGTGTTGGCAAGAGTTTGTTGGGACAGTGTTGGATGTTAGTCACTAGGGCTGCCACGATTAGTCGACTAATCGATGACTAATCGACTATTAAAATAATCGGTGACTATTTTAGTAGTCGACTAATCGGTTTGAGTCATTTTTCATAGAAAAGTACTATAAAAGCACCCCAAAATACTCTTACTGCAGCTTCTTACGTTCAGATATTGGCAGCTTTACACACTCTCCCGTGACAGTGAACTATAACCCTTTGGCGTGAGTACGAAACAAGACGTTAGATTACGTAATTTTGGGGTTTGGGAGAGACAGATCGACATTTTTCAACATTTTAACACATTTTTCGATAAAATGATTAGTCGACTAATCGAAGAAATAATCGACAGATTAGTTGACAATGAAAATAATCATTAGTTGCAGCCCTATTAGCCACTGCTGTTGTTTACCCGTGGTAACTGGACAAATGTTGAACTAAATATCTGCCAGGATCCAGCAGCTTTGGAGACAGTCCCCTCCCTTCCTTAACAGGTATTGCTTACCATTCAAGAGGTTAAGCAAAACTCTGTCAGCTGACTCTGGGTGCTTGTCATCAAACTCAGGCATTTTTGTCTGTTTTTTTTCCACACTAACTGGCAGCTACTAAGAAACTTGATCACTGACGATTGTTATATGATACTTTCCAGGTCTTCCTTCTTGGAAATTTCAACTGGACGCGTTGGCTCACAAGCCTTATTAGAAGCAGTAACCAAATGTCAGACACTGTACACAGAGATAAACAAAACTTTGATTTTGGACCTGTGTATCAACATTTTTAAAATGATTAAATAACAATCCAAATTTTTTGGATTGGAGAAACAAGAAATTAAAACTTTATTTAAAAAAACCTACTTAACAGGTAGCCAGTGTAGCATTGCAAGGGTGGGAGTTATATGGTCTTGTCTCTTTGATTTAGGTAAAAGTTTGGCTGAGCC